AAGCGGCATCTCATGGAGGCCGAAATACATCATCTCATATCCATCAACACCATAGAACAGGTTCCAAAAAGGCAGGAAGGCCTAGGGTTTTACTCAATCTTATTCCTGGTACGCAAGAACTCAGGGGGATGGCGGGCCATTCTAGATCTGAAAATACTCAATTGGTACATCAAGTATCAAAGGTTCAAAATGCAGTCCTTAAAGAGCATCTTGGCATCCATCCGCCAGGGCGACATGATGACATCAATCGACATCAAGGAGGCGTACCTCCATGTGCCCATCCACCCGGCACATCGAAGGTTTCTGCGCTTCCAGTTCGCAGACCGTCATTTCCAATACTGGGCCTTGCCCTTCAGTCTCTCCTCGGCCCCGTGCACCTTTACCAAGCTCCTAGCGGTGGTGGTGGCTTCGCTTCGCTCGGTTCCGGTGAGAGTGAATTGTTACTTAGACAACATCTTGGTCCTGTCGCCGTCTCGGGAACAGGCCCTCTGGGATCTACAAGTAACAATGGACTCCCTGCGGAGGCACGGCTTCGTTCTGAACCTCCCCAAGAGTCATCTGCAGCCAACTACATCACTGCTTCACTTAGGGACCATCATCAATTCCGCCACATGCAAGGTCTTCCTGTCCCTGGAAAGACGGCAGAGCATTCAGCGACTGGCAGCCCAGGTGTCAGGTCAGCGGCTTGTGCCCCTGGCCCTGCTCTCCCAGCTGTTAGGGAAGATGATCTCCTGCATCGACATAGTTCCCTGGGCCAGATTTCACGCACATCCACTGCAATGGTTTCTGCTCCCCTATCAGAGGTCCCACACCAGGCATTCACAACTCAAAGTTCGACTTCCATCCAAGCCTCTCAGATCCCTCCAGTGGTGGGCATCATCCAAGCTCCTCAAAGGGTGCCCATTCAAGGAGGCGGACCGCATCCAAGTTACGACGGATGCCAGCCTCTTCGGGTGGGGCGGCCATGCCCTGAATCGGATGGCACAGGGTCGTTGGTCGCCTCAGGAGCTGACCAACAGCATCAATTGGCTAGAGCTCCGAGGCATCCGACTGGCCCTATGAGAGTTCCGGGACATTGTGATTCACAACCACGTGCTGATCCTAACAGACAATGTGGCCTCCAAGGCACATGTCAACCGCCAAGGGGGCACGCACTCCAGGGCCCTCATGTTGGAGGGGGAGAAATTGCATCATTGGGCAGAGTCCAGACTGTTGTCCCTTCGGGCGGAACACATATCGGGCGACTCCAACATCCAGGCAGATTGGTTGAGCAGAGCCACAGTGGATCATGCGGAGTGGCAGCTCCACCCCGACCTTTTCCAACAACTGTCTCGCTGGTTCGGCCGTCCAGCAGTGGACTTGTTCGCGCAGCCCCACAATGCGCAACTGCCCCATTTTTACTCCAGATACGTGACTCCCGGGGCGGAGAGAGTGGATGCCTTGCGCAGCCCGTGGCCGGCCGGCCTTCTCTACACCTTCCCGCCGCTACCAGTGATTCCGGCAGTCATCCAGAAAATACTGGCGGAGCAAGTGGAGGTTCTCTTAGTGGCCCCAATGTGGTCCCGGCGCCCCTGGTATGCCGACCTTGTGCACCTGTCGATCTCGCGCCCGTGGAGGATTCCGGACGACCAGATCCAGCTCAACCAGGGGGCCCTCATACATCCGAACCCCCAGTTGTTGCAGTTAGCCGTGTGGCACGTGAGCGGGCTATTCTGACCGACTTTCACTATTCCAGCGAGGTCATCGACACAATTCAAGCGGCCCGTCGCCCCTCCACCACTCGAATTTACGAGGCCACCTGGCAGGCCTTCTGCAGGTGGTGCTGCCGGGCTGGGGCAGATCCCCTCCAGGATTCAGTGCCCCGAGTCTTGGACTTTCTGCAATCTGGACTTAACAAGGGTTTGGCGCCCAACACACTTCGCAGGCAGGTCACGGCCCTCGCCATGGTGATTGGGGGCGGTCAGGGACGTTCCTTATCTCAACATTCACAGGTCAAAGCCTTCCTGAAAGGGGCGGCCAACATCCGGCCTCTGACCGTGCACCGCTACCCTACGTGGGACTTGACATTAGTGCTCAGGGCGCTTATGACCTCTCCATTCGAACTTATTACATCCATCAGTCTTCGGCTACTGACTCTTAAAACTGTGTTCTTGGTGGCTATTACATCAGCCAGGCGGGTCTCCGAATTGGCGGCACTGTCAGTTCGGGCGGACCTCTGTATATTCCATCCCAACAGAGTCGTTCTCCGTTTGGACCCGGTCTTTCTACCAAAAGTCAACACGTTATTCCACAGGGCTCAGGAGCTCGTCCTTCCAGACTTTTGCCCCAATCCTTCTCATCCGCAGGAAC